ACCCCTCAATCCCCTGCTATCCCGATACCTACCAGTAATTATTCCAACAGTAGGGGACTGGAACCAAATACTCAAAAAGAGCAAGGATGCCTATACCTAGTAATACAGAAAAACACATAAGGACCCATGTCTTGCGTGACCATTAAGGTATAATTAATCGTGATTACTGAACTATGTTAATTGACAAAGTTGGTAGAGTAGCAGCGCACTGTGGAATTGCTGTTGAATACTGAAAACATAAGAGGTTCATAATCATCAAACAGCTAAGCATTTGCTTGTGACAATATGTCTTGCATATATATTTGCTACTAATATGGTGTATGAGTTAATTAAAAAAAACAAAAAGTATATCGTAGGCCAAAGTATTATAATTTCACCATCCTTCTGATGGCTGAATTGATTCCATACCTATATCCTAACAAGCAAAATGTGTCCCAACTATAGCTACCAAAATCCTCCGTAACATGTAATCGTACCAGCCGTGTTGTCATAACACATGTCTACAAATATTCTGTAATCATACCTAAATAAAAATTCAATTTATACCACACGTCATAACCCTTATGACCACCAGGGGTCGTGGAACCAGAACTTGAGAGAGAAATCTATAATGATAACCAGCCACCAGAGGTCGCCTTAGTGCCTATCACAAGTTTTAACATCTAATATTGAAAAAGAGTTTCGGCAAACGAACGGTCATAAGATCAGAGTATGTAACGAATTGCCCCACACAAATAAACATTTAAACATAGCTATATACCATATATGAGCCGTAACCGAATGCCGAATGTCGCGTAATTATGTACCGAACTGCTACCGTGCTTGTGATCGTCTTACTAAGATGACGTAAACTGGCCACGCCGAAAATTGCGACGGCCGTGTAACTTACGATTTTGCCCCAAGGAAAAACCCCACGACTGCCTAGCCTAGAGATGAATCCAGCCAGACGAACCCAGAGGAAAGAGGAACCTGGAAGCTGACCACAGAGATACAGTTAAGCAGAATGGCGTGAGGACCGACCGGAAGTTACGATTTCTCTCCACACAACTCACCAGACCTAACAGGTAATGAGGGAAGGGCTGGTTCTCCTTAAGAAGGGGAGCCAAGCTCCTCCCATAACTTCAGGCCGCGCTTTCCATATATCATCTAAGTATATAGTATTTAATTTTACACTGTTTTAAACTTTTATTTTACATTCCAGGCAGTCCCCACACCGCGATCGCTGGCATGCTTTCGCCAGCGACCGGGAAAGTACATAGTGTGACGGAGCTCCTTGTACTCCGACTGAGTACCCTCCGTTGACGGATGCTCCTAGCGCTTCCTGAGGACTCCAAGCACTGCAGCAGACACCGCAACCGCCGTATCTGGACTGGAGTCTCGCCGTCTTCCTTCCACCCTGGATCAGCTTCTGTCCTCCAGGACTGTGTGGGAAAGAACTCTTCCTTCCACCCTGTGTGAACCTCCAGCATCCAGGACTGTGTGGTGAAGACCCCTCCTCCAAAGAGAGCGTGTCAGGAACAAGCTCTTAAAAGAGCTAAGTGACTCAAGCTCAGGGGAGCATGCAGAGCATGCCAATACAGTCACCACAATAACATTGTTGTGAAACCTCAATAAAATCACAAACAGTCAAACCATATCAAGAAACACACAGTGACTTATCACAACACAATGGCACATTTTTAAAGGGGTGGGGGGAGACAATATTTAACAGTAAATATCTCACCTGCCTGCAGAATTAGCAATATGCAAATCTACCCGAATATGCAAATAAACCAGTCTTGCAATTCAGGTAGTGCATATTGCTGTTGCTACCAACAGAAGGCACTAGACAAGCTCCATAGCCAAACCCACCTAGTTGGTAGCAAACCTCAGCAGTACAGGAGAGAAGGCAATACATTTCACAGTACACACACACACTATAAACAATTACATTACACACACCCTGCACCTATAATGGGTACAGGGTGACTAAAACATAAGATAAATAAAGCAGCCTACATAAATAGTCTGTCTGAAGGTAGACATGGGGCTTTAAAGCCAGATACATGAAAGAGTCATAGTCACAGGGGAGGAGGCTGGCAAGTAGGCCTCTCCAGGACCAAGTGGCGAAGGGAACTTCGTCACATATCTCCCCTTCGGGGGGAAGACTAACCAGGCACCTGACTTTCTGTCGGTCAGTGCCTAAGTTAGTCGAGTCACCCACTGACCATAAGCAAGTGCCAGAGTAGCCCACCCACAACAAACAGTTATTAGAGCAGCCCACCCACAGCAAACAGTGACTGCACCTGGATATTCCTCTGGGGTGATGGGGCAACACGCTGTGGGGACTTGAGGGGCAGAGACCAGCGGCGCTCTGCCCTGATGCCAGCGCTTCTGCTGGGAGGAGGGGGGTGCAGGCCAGTCCTGTGAGAAGGGGATCGGTAGGGCAGAGGCCAGCGGCGGTCTGCCCTGATGCCAGCTCTTCTGCTGGTATAGCCTGTAGGACATCAGGCTCTGGACAAGGGACAAAGGGAGGGCAGAGGCCGACTGCACTCTGCCCAGCCGCCAGCTCTTCCGCTGGGGGGCTTGGGACATAGTCCGGCTCAGTAGCCAGGGGAATGTGGGGGTCAGTGGGGGTTAACATCTCCCCTGTTAACCCTGGGGCCAAGTTAGGAGTTAGCTGGGGAGGGGAATTCGTACTTACCCCCTCCTCCTGTTGTCCCTGTGAGGGTAGTTGGGGATCTGGACAGGCTGTCCAGCATCCCTGTAGGTCGGGCACAGAGACCACGGTCCCCTCTGCGCCATCTGGGAGATTGGTGTCTCCCCTTGGTAGGGTAAGCTGCCGCTGGGGAGATAGGGTGCTGTGCTCCTCTCCCTGAAACACAGGCTGCCGCTGGAGAGGGAGACCGCCTGTCTCCACTCCCATAACATTGTCCTGCTGCTGGAGAGAGAGACCAACTGTCTCTGCTCCCTGTAGGACACACTGCTGCTGGGGGGGAAGGACGACACCTTCGGCCCCCTGGAATTCGCACTGCCGCTGGGGAGGAAGGGCGACACCTTCGGCTCCCTGTAACTTGCACTGCCGCTGGGGAGGAAGGACGACACCTTCGGCTCCCTGTAACTTGCACTGCCGCTGGGGAGAGAGACCAACTGTCTCTCCTCCCTGTAGGACACACTGCCGCTGGGGAGGAAGGACGACACCTTCGGCTCCCTGTAACTTGCACTGCCGCTGGAGACTAGGTGTCCATATCCTCAACCTCCACAGTTGTCGCTCAAAGGCCATTGCCGCACTGTTCTCAGCACTCAACTGGCGCATTACTTGGTGGACCACCTCGTTCGAAAGGTCTGGGCCATAGCAGACCAACCGCCTCTTTACCTCCTCAATGTAAGCGTCGTCCTCGTAGCGACGTATCATGTTGAGGTGCTCTTCGCAGGGCTCTATCCATCCCTGCTCCATGCTGCTGTAGTTAGGGACGCTGCACAGTGGCTAGCGTTGCCCTCAATAACCTCTCATACGATACCAGTGTCTCCGAGCTGCTTCTCCTCGCACTAGGACGCCATCCCACTGCTGCCACCAATAGGACGGCAGGGACGCCGGGTCCCCAAGGATGGCATACAATGCCCGCCATCGTTAAGGGGTTAATCCATATACATTATAAAATCGTAGACTCTTCACCTGTGTGATATCTCCGATGTCTTTCAAGATTAAAAAGGAAGGAAAAAAAAAAAGATAACCCGCGCCAACGGTTTAGCGTAGCCGCAAACAAATACAGGTATATCCATACATGAATGCAACAGGATCTTGTTAATAGATGAATCTCTCAAAAACTAAAAAATAACACACGAAGTGTAGTAATTTTAAAACATATAGGACAGTATATTGAAATGAAAGTACACTCACATTTTCAAGAGCTATATAGAGCTCTGCTGTTAAGGGCGTGGGAGGTATAATACTCGTCTCAGGATATATATGCTGCAGTGGTGATGGTACTTTTCCAAGTTAAGTGCGATATGTGAAGACATAAGTAGAGACATCCAATAGCATAATATGTAAAGTACACTCTTTCCTTCTAGAACAATAGGGGTTTTACATTTTTTTGAGCATGAATCTGCTCTAGTGTAGTGGAGCTTTGGTGGTACAATTCCCACCTAGGATATGCAGGACCGGAAGTATAGTAGTGTTACAAAGAACCCTTTTTCTACCACTATTATTCACGAATCCCGCTAGGATCCCCAGATCTCCATCCGTTCATGTCTAAACAAACGAACACCGTGCCGTTCGGTACTTTGAGACTCTGTAAGTTAGACCGACTGTATGCTTGAATGTTGTGGATCTAATTCTGGGTTGACTTTTTGCTGAACAGCCCTGGAGACAAACTTTATCCCCATGGCATTCCCACTATATTCGTCAGATCTGAGTGCTTCGGGGACATCTTGTGCACTCAAATCCAAGCTATCTGGGGATATGTTAAATACATAGGGGTTAAAGACTGTAGTGTATGAGTTATGTATTTGTATGTGGTTTTTGTAATATATTGTTATATATTCAACCCTAGAATATTTCCTGTACCTGGAGATAATTAAGTTACTGTAACCACTTAAGATAATTATCTCCAGGATAGAGGAGGAGGTTTAGAAAGATGCACTTTTTTCCGATTGGTTTAGGTCCCTTGTAACACTGTGTTCCATCAGGTCCAGAGGGGTGTGCCCTGGCCTGAAAAGGTGTATATAAGCAATGCCTTTCTGTTCAATAAGCCAGACTTCTTACCCTCAACTCGCAGCCTTGACTCATGTTGTAGGGAAATGCTAATCACTAGCTCTGCTCAGAGCTCCAGGAATACTCTACACTTGCAGGAAGATCGTTAGGTGCTGAAGTGGAACTTTTCATCACTCTCCAGGATTAGGGACAAAGACATCCAAGCGGTCCAACCCTCAGCTAGCCTGGGGCACCTGTAACAAGTAAAATTCAGGAAGCCAAAAGAATATAAAGTAAATACTGAATACATAAAAAAAAAAAAAAATGAATATAAAAGGGTAAACTTTATTTAACAAAAAAGGGTTCATAAAGTGTGACTTAACTCTTAAACAGGTAGAATTAATAAAACAAAACATTCAGAATGGTTTCCTACAATATTTCCGGTAATCACATATCAGTCAGAAGTACTGTTGTGTAGTAACCGGTGTGTGGTTGGTTGTGTCAAAGTCCTGGTACTTAAAGAGATGTCAGACAATTATTGCATTCAAACAGAAATGTAAAACACATATATAAAAATACATAACACAAATACAGAACTATAGTAAAAAGGTAATAAACCAAAAAGATATATATATATACATATATATATATATTTATTGAACATATCAATAAAAAAGGGGGACATAAGAAAGGTCTCTGTGAAAGTCTGTATATGAATAAAAATTAATGGGTTAAAAAAATATAGCAGTGAAAAAAGTATATATTATTAAAATATATAAAATCAAATAAAATTTATATTAACAAAATATAGGGAAATATATAAAAATGATACAATTTATAAGAAATTATACAGATCAAAGTCTGTATTGAGAGCGTGAGGATGTGAAGTATTAAGATATCAGGTCTATAACAAGTAGGTTTAACAGAAACATCTCTAACATTCAGAACATTAGAACGATTTCTCTCCTGTGTGAATTTTCTGGTGACGAACAAGCTCTGATTAAGTGACAAAGCATTACCCACATTCAGAACATGTAAATGGGTTCTGTCCTGTGTGAGTCATCTGATGTCGAACAAGATTTTGTTTACTTATAAAACATTTTTCACATTCAGAACATGCAAACGGTTTCTCTCCTGTGTGAGTTCTCTGATGTCTAACAAGACTTGAGTGATCCCTAAAACTTTTTTCACATTCAGAACATGAGAAAGGTTTCTCTCCTGTGTGACTTCTCTGATCACGAATGAGCTGTGCTTTAGTGACAAAACATTTTCCGCATTCGGAACATGCAAACGGTTTCTCTCCTGTGTGAGTTCTCTGATGTCTAACAAGACTTGAGTGATCCCTAAAACTTTTTTCACATTCAGAACATGAGAAAGGTTTCTCTCCAGTGTGAGTTTTCTGGTGACGAACAAGCTCTGATTTCTGGTCAAAACTTTTTCCACATTCAGAACATGAAAAAGGTTTCTCTTCTGTGTGAGTTCTATGATGTTTAACACAACTTGAGTGATCCCTAAAACTTTTTCCACATACAGAACATGAGAAAGGTTTCTCTCCTGTGTGAGTTCTCTGATGTTCAACAAGGTGTGAGTACCGACGATAACATTTGGCACACTCAGAACATGCAAAAGGTTTTTCTCCTGTGTGAATTCTCTGGTGACGAACAAGCTCGGAGTTAGTGAGAAAACATTGTACACATTCAGAACATGATAATAGTTTCTCTCCTGTGTGAGTTCTCTGATCACGAATGAGCTGTGCTTTAGTGACAAAACATTTTCCACATTCAGAACACGAGAACGGTTTCTCTCCTGTGTGAGTTCTCTGATGCATGGCAAGCCTTGTTTTATTGACAAAACCTTTTCCGCATTCAGAACATGCAAATGGATTCTCTCCCGTGTGAGTCATCTGATGTCGAACAAGAGTTTGTTTACTTATAAAACATTTTTCACATTCAGAACATGCAAACGGTTTATCTCCTGTGTGAGTTCTCTGATGTATAACAAGATTTTCTTTACTGCTAAGACATTTTCCACATTCAGAACATGAGAGAGGTGTGGGGTTTAGGTTTACCCTCTCCTTTGAGAACATATGGGAATCTGAGAAAATCTTTGATTCTTCAGAGTTAGACTCCTCGGTGCTGTTATTAAAAGATTTTTGCATAGCCATGCTTCGTGTATTTCTGTTCTTGTCACCTCTTTCAGTAAAACCGTTCCTGACACAAACCTGAAAGAAATATAGTGGGAGTTAAAGAAAATTGTCACTATAAATTATTGTACAAACAAATAAAGTGTTCTAAGGCGCTTAAATAGAAATAAAGGTACCCTCAAGTATAGCAGCTTCCACACATTTGATCCATTTGAGAAAGCCTACACAGTGAAAAGCGTTATGGACATTACTTTTTAACTAATACTTATATTAAATAAAGGATTTTGGTTTTATTACAACCTACTACCTCCTTATTTCAAAAACAGCATTGTTCCTGGCATTTTATCTATTTATTTTTTATCCAAAGATTATTACCAATGCTACTCTCAAGAATATGCTAGGTGGGGATCGTACCACTTACGCTGTCGTCATAGAGCAGTGTTTCTGCTCCACGCTTGTGAGTAATATTTTGTTTTTTTTATTACTTGTACTATAGTACTGAGAGCACTATTGTGTCTATTTTTTTCCCCTCTTCGATTACCTAGATAACCATCAGTTGTGAAGGACCATCAACTCCATATCTCATAAGTGGGGATCATACTACTTCATGCGATATATACTAGAGCTGGTCACAGCTGTGTTTCATGTGAGTGCAACATTTATATTTTTTTATGGATTGCCCATCAATTCCAGACATACTAAACTATTAGGCCACTCTGTCTTTTCTCTTTACACATACGGAGACTGAAGAGACCCAGACTCTCCACATCCCCAAGTGCAAAGAACTAGAAGTCACAGCTACTTTTAAAGAGACATTTCCCATACATCTGTGGCGCAGCCCTTCTCTGCTTTCCCTGTTTTGTATGCCACACATAAATAGGAACCTAATCCTACTATAATCAGTACAAAAAGAGAACACTAATATACAATCAAATGACAATAGTGAAAAAGTGCGTAGCGCTGAAAATTAATAACTCACTCCCAAAAGATTGGGGACGTTGAGGTTTTGGAGATTACTGTAGGGAAGAATAAAAGGTATTTAGTGTAGTACAGTAATGTCCAATGGAAATATTAACTCCTAATGAAAAGCACTCACATGGTTTAGAGCGTAATGAGGATTGGCTCTAATCACTTGTGCTCTTATGTACTCTGTGTGACACACACCCTATGAACCCATGTTCAGTGTTGACCTCAATAAAAGTGAGAGAAACAGGGAAACTCGCCCTGGTGTAGAAATCTTCAACAAGATATGGTACAATAATAAAGATATAGGTTGCTTCTCACCTTATTGAGAACCTGGCTCTAAGTATACAGGTGTATGAGGTTTAGGGTGACGCTGCCCTTCTTTAACAGGATAGATGTTGCACCAGACAATATATTCCAAATAAAAAATAACATTTATTATATTCATGAATTTAAAATCAATTGATACGTGCACAGTGCTGTTATAGTTGTCCAAAACGCATTTCAACTATTCCGTTTGGCTTTCTCAATTGGTGATTTAAATATCTCTGCCCTTACATTGATAGGATGCAGAAGATCGTGATACACCCAATCATGACTGCTCCTGTGCGCTCCAGGTGAATTTAGAAAGGACAGAGAAGAATGTAATCGAGATAAAAAAAAGAAAGTATCTACGTGATAAAGAGGTTTATCTAAAAAAGTTAGGACATATTCCAAGGGAAAGGATCAGTTCCAAATACACCCAAGACACAATCCAAATTAATGGAGGAAAACAAGTAAACCAGACTTCTATAGCAATGAGAGGACAAGAAGTAGGGAACTGTGACAAAAGCACCTTCGTCACTGGGATATGGAGAGGCCTGCTTGCCAGCCTCTTGCCCAAAGACTATGGGCCCTGCAAAAAGACATGTTAAAAAGTAACTTTCATGGGAAAATGTGCCTCTTCCCCTCCCCTTTTTCCTGTCCTATTGTTTCTCCAGCAGGGCGTTGTCCCAGGGACACTGCCAGACCAGTTGAAACCGGTTGCTTTGTCCCTCCTCAATCTCCCATCAGCCCTTGCTGTAACTCTGCTTCCACCATTCCTTATACTAAAGTGCACTTTTAACATTGAAAATAGACAGACCCTGATAGCTAAAAGCCATGGACCTAATTATGGACAGATTTCTGCCGAACAGTCGGTGAAAACACTTGAACCCTATGGCGATTCAACCATGTTTGTGGGATCTGAGCGCTGTTCGAATATATTGAGCGCTCAGATCCAAGCTATCTGGGGATGTGTTTGGGGGTTACATTCTGTAGAATATAAGTTATGTATTTTAATGTGTTGTGTTGCAGTTTTAATTTAGGAATATTTTCTCTACCTGGAGATAATTAAGTTTACTGCAGCCACTTAAGCCAATTATCTCCAGGATAGAGAGGAGGGATTTTATGGTTTCTGTGGGAGTGGTTCACATTGCATTGTACGTTGATTGGCTAGTGTAATTGTATTCCAGTCTTCCACAAGGTCCCTGTGGGAGTATCCCTTGTTGGAGGACCTGCATAAAAGGCCAAGCTGTGGCCACCATTAAACAGATCATCTTGCACCTTCATGAAGTCTTGGCTCATGTTTTGGGGATTGGAGAACTACACTCTGGGGATTGCTATCATCCCTATACTCCGCAGGGTATAATCACTAAGCTCTGGTAAGAGCTTGTTCCTGCTCCCTGGATTTAAGAGAGGTCTACCTACTGGAAGCTGGACCCTGGTCTTGGGTCTAGAGTGGGTAAAAAAACGTTGAGTCCCCAACCAAGCTGCGGTGGTTCTTATGGTGTCTGGTGGAGTACCCTCGGGAAGTACTAAGCACATCAGTCAGCAGAAGCTACCCAGTCGGGGTGCCAGGCATTCTGTTACAGGAACAAACTAGGAGAAATATGGATTATCATCCAAGGGAACGATCACCACAGAGAATCCACCACACACAAAGTAGAGGGGGTTGGGAGAAGGTGGTTAGAAGGAAACAACTCAAATCCCCAATAAGGGAGAAAGTAAGAATTACCACTCCATCTGTAGTTATTGACGAACCCATAGCATCACGTAGACCCATACAAAATGAAGACGGGATTTCAACCTCTATCAACACCTCTTATAGATGAGGATTTTTTTCTGGCACAGACAAGTGAGGGAGCGCCGCAAAGATTTGCCCATACTTCGAGTATCCCCAGGAAAACGGAGACACAGTATAGAAGAGGGGGATTTAGAGGAGGAACATTTTTACAGAAAAGGAGAGAAAGAAACCCAAACAGAATGTAATCTTCAGCTTTTCCAAAAAGGAACTAACTAGGTCTCAAACTGAACTATTGACTAAAGGATTAAAGTTCGCCTCTACCAAGCCAATAGATCGATTCAGTATGTATTTGGATTTAAATAGATTGAAAAGGAAACTTTGTCTAAAAAAAAATCTTTTTCAAACATCCTATTGCTCAGGGTCCAGAAATAAATCAAAATACAGGTACCATCTATATGGATTTGAAAG